TAACTAAGTACTTAGTAAGTAGTAACTTGTGTGTGTGTGTGTATATATATATATATATATATATACACACACACACACAAACCCTTAATTGATTTTCCATGTTGGCTGGTTAGTTTATCATCAGTGTTTGGATATTGTCTGTTAGATGGATATCCCCAACATAAGTGGGTGCTATTACCACAGACATCATCTGTTATGACGTCAAGTTGACAACTAGGACTGACAGTGGTAATGATTATTTTATATATGTCACATGAAACCAATGACTACAATAATTTTCTTTTTTAAAAACTAAACACACTAAAATCAGCAAATTATTTTACACACACACACACACAAACAGAAAACATTCTTTAGAAATAATCAGTAACACTAACATTTAATAATTACTTGTATATTTCCAGAAAAACACTTTTAAATAATAATTGTTAAGAACTACCAATGAAATATTAATGTTTTTACAGTAAATTCATGGAGAACATTTCCTCACCACCAATATATTCAAACATTATTTAACCCTTAAATCACCAACTGATTTTCATACCATTTACCACTAGTGCAGTTTATATTTTCCATAATACTGATTAATTTGATGTTTTTGCCTGTTACAATATTAAGTGTATAAAATACATACTAATTTGGCAAGATTAATTGCATTATTGTTTAGAAAGTCAGTGGTAACTTTAGGGTTAAATGTTAGCAATACTTTTACATATACTCATAGGAAATATTCCTAACACTTTTATAAACAAATGAGTTATTTTCTTGTGTTTACAAGAGTTTGGTGGTCATGACAGATCTTGTGCAAGCATAACAGTTTTGTCAATATTAACAAGAAATATATCTGTTTAAAACAGATATTTTCTTTAATTTTTCTGTTCAAATATAGTAAGTTTGATTTTGTGAGGCACTAAATTATGATCAATGTTACATTTTTAATATTAATTTCCTGTAGTGAAGTGAAAAGGCCACAACTTGCAAAAAAATGACAAAACACATACAAGGAAACAAGCTACATTATAATTTGTTACAGTAAACAGTTTTTAATCTCTCCTTCATATCCAGACAAGATAAAGTAACAATATAAACTAAAGAATACAACAAAATTAACATAGTTATTAAGAAACAAAACAGAAACAGTGTCATACAGAAAGTTGTGTTTATGCAGTGATTTTACTTCTGTGATGTTCAACTCAAACTAAACATCAAGCTGTTTAACAGTAGAAGTATTCCTGAGAGACAGCATTTATTTTATTATTGTTTGCAGGGGCAGTGTGTTACTTCTCAGCAAATCAAGAGGAAAAGTTGAAAGGCTGTCAAGCTTAAAAAATGAATAAAGTAATGTGTATTGGAATCCTCTGGGACATTTCAAGGACCCTTGAAAATTATATGGTGATCAGAGGTCATGAAGGTCGAGCTTTTTTGTTACAGGTAGACACAAACCACTTTAGAAGATAGACTAAGATCAGTTGCTTAAACTGAAACAAGTTTACAGCCAGGTCAGTAGATAATCTTATTGATTGTAAAACATCCCTTTAAATACATATACACACACACACGATGAAATAACTAAAATAAAATTATCTATGACAGTATATATCATATTGGTCCTTTGTTGAAACATTTTAAAAGTATATTTCATATGCAAAATGAGTTCAAATATGTAATAAATATACACGTTGCTGTAACAGCATATTTAGCAAGCAAAATCCCTAAAAAAAAACATTACACAAAGTCAGAGAAGATAGACTTACATAAAAATTCAGAGCAATGATCCAACTGCAAAAGCAAAATTTTATCAGCATTACTTAACATTATTGTCAACCCAATGATATTCTGAACAGAAACCATTGTCAACGTATATATCAAGTAGTAATATATTGAGAGATTTCTACTGTAAGCGTAATTTAAGAGGAAAGTAACAAATTAAAATACAAATGAAAAGAAAAAAAAACACCTTAGTAATATATGACATATGATAAATTTCTTTCATGTTTCAACTTCTTATATTTCTCTAACTAATCACCAACACATTAACTTGTTAAATTAATAAATACCTCATCAAATCAAAAGCAAACAACTTGCCAATACATGTTTCAATTATAATTTATAAGCAAGCCTTTCAGTGTAAAAACTTTTCCAAGCTTCTTCACAACTTATGTTGTCAGTATAAAGATGGGTTGGAACAGCCAAACTGAATAAAAAACATTTTCCTATTTGTAATTTACTTTCAATTGGCCTAAAGAAGCAGGAACTTACTAAAAAAAATACAGGGACTTAATGATCTATTTAGACAGTTTTCTCTTACCAGAAGTTAATATTAATAAAGCAAACACCCTTTAAAATCAAACTACACTGGTTATACTCAGCAATGCTAGCCAATGAAGTATGTTAAAAAAATAACATCCTCTAAAATCAAACTACACTGGTTATGCTTAGTGATGCTAGCCAATGAAGTACATAAAAAAATAACCCTTTAAAATTAAATTATACTGGTTATGTTTAGCAATGCTAGCCAATGAAATACATAAAAAATAAAGCTTTAAAATTAAATTATACTGGTTATGTTTAGCGATGCTAGCCAATGAAATACATTAAAAATAACCCTTTAAAATTAACTTATACTGGTTATGTTTAGCAATGCTAGCCAATGAAATACATAAAAAATAAAGCTTTAAAATTAAATTATACTGGTTATGTTTAGTGATGCTAGCCAATGAAGTACATTAAAAAATAACCCTTTAAAATTAAA